GGAGTGGATGAGTCGAGAGTCCCAGATAATGATGGAGCCTTTGGGTGCTACCACCTTTTTCCATTGGCAGCCTTTTTGCTCAAAGTATTTGACATTCTCGTACGTAAGCTGAATGTAAGTGTCCTTTCCCTCTTCCTGCAGTAATTGCTGCTGCTGCTGCTGCTGCTGCTGCTGCTGTCGCATGGCCGCGGAACCGGCTGCTACAGGAGTTGTGGGTGGCAGAAGCGAACGGGGCTCTAGCTCGAGTGTGCCGGGCGGGTGGGAGGCGAAAAATTCGTCGTGGTAGTAGTGAGACTTGGATAGGAAGACGAAGCCATGATCATATAGCGACACATCTTCCAGCACTAAAGTGCACTGTAGCGGAGCCGGGTAGGTGGTGGAGCGGCCTCGGTCGCTGTGCATCCACATCTCTGACCAGTGGTAGTAACCACCCTGGTTAGACGGCGCCCCCTCCTGCGGAGGAATGAAGCCGCCGGGATAATGCTCAGGCGGAAAGCCCCAGAAGAGACCTTGCAGCTGCATGACCAAATTATCCTCCGAGGGAACATCGTGGAGAACCTTGAAAATTTCCACTACTTTCGGTGAGCTTCGGGCTTTGAGGGCGACGCTAAGGTTTTGTTGTGCAGCATCGGAGGGGGAAGAGGAGGCGTAAGTGTCGATGCGGGGACGTTGAATGCACGGCTGCGGGCTAGACAAGCCAGGGTATTTTAAAACAACCTACCTAGAAAAGCACGCAGGTCCTGTATTCATCATCCCCAGAATACTTTTGCTCATGTGCAGGTTTGCGGCGTTGTATTTGTCCCACGTTTTGTTGTCGTTACAGTCGATACCTTGCCGCTTCAACCAACCCCCCATGTCTTCTGCCAGCTCGGCGCACTCCCTTGCATCTAAAATACCTAGAAAAGCGGATACAGGAATTTGAATTTGAGAATGTCATCTTTTAAAAAGGTATTCGCTAAAAAAACCCTGTCCAATCTAACGTCGCATACATCTCACCTTTCGCCACGATGATGCCATCCCGTTCCAGTCGTCGAAGAAGCTCGGCGCGATCTCGCCAGGACTTTTTGTCACCTAGGACAGGGTTGTGTTGGACAAAAGGGAACCAGTGGCCCCAGTCGTCCGGCGGCGCCTGCATAGCTAGCCAGCCAGCACCCCGTGTTCTTCAACAGCAAGGATCGCAGGCTCCCTCTTCTCCCCCCGGGATGACTAGACTTGTGGTAGCACCAGTTGCGCTGAGACGCACAGCGTCTTTGATCTTTCCTTGAAAAATTTAAGTTAATGCACCCCCTCCCAAAATTTCCGCCAAAACAATGCGTCCTTTCGGGTGCGTTAGGAACGGCCCATCGACCCTATTCAGCGTTGAACGGGATGGATGACCGTCGCTTGTTCTGCCAAAAATCCACGAGGGTGAGAAAGCGCTGGATAAGTACTTTGACGGCGATAAATATTGACAAAGGTATTGTGCGACCGGCAAAGAAGGAGAATAAGAGGAGAAGCTTGCGGGTAAAGGCGGCGGGCGATCGCAGTGATCTGCTCGTCTCGGCGAGAGAGTCCGTTGAATTCAAATTCCCAGCAAATAGCCCGCAATTCAAATTCCCAGCAGATAGCCCGCCGGCTTTTTCCCGCCGACTGCCCCGGGGTCTCCGGCCTTCCTGCCGCCTGTATATAAATGGAGAGCCCAGTAGAGCGGAGAAAGGAAGAAGAAGTCTGTAGCTAGTGACACATTTTGTCTGTCTAGAAAATTTGTGTGATTCATTTCAGGGTTCTGAGAAAAGCACACAGCACACACGGTTCTTATCACCAAAGCCTTTTTTCTTTTTTTCACCATCGTAATCGCTCACTACCTTCTTCGCTCTTGAGGAGACTGGTGCGCTCCATTCATCTATCGTCTCGTTGCTCTTTGCGCACACATCCTTGCTTGGCGGCGGGCTTTTGCCCCAATAGTTTCTTCCTGAAAAGGGAGAGGGGGGAGAGGTGGTGTGCCTTGAAACTCTCGAAGACAACTCCTGTTCGCTGTTGCGGCAGTCCTTGTTTCTGCAAGCCTTTGCAAGAGACGTAACTGAAATTATGGAGTTGCTCTGAGGTGCTGTGATAAGGTGGTGACCCCCATTTTTCGACGCAGGAAGAATCTCCTCTAGCCTCAAGCTTCTGGGTCTCTTCGATACACCTCCGAATATGTCCCTCCTTCATTTCTGCTTTCGGTAATATTCTTCCAAAAGCCTGAGTCTCCCTGCACAGAGTGCTGAGATTACATCTTCACTCGATTTTCCACTCTCCTCAACGAGCACACTCAGGTAAAGTATGGCCTTACACAACAGCATACAGACACGAACAAAAACACACAATCACACACCTCGCATCCACTCCAATTTCTTCGTTCCCAAAAGCACACTACCCATGGCGTCTTAAATCAAGCTATGTGCAGACCTGCGACCGACAGACGACCTATTTTTCCTTGCATCTCTCTCGCCCGCAAAATTCCTTTTCGTGTGCTTTTCAAAGCTGGTGTGATGCCGAGGAAAGCATGCCTAGATGAGATCTGCCACATCGCTGGGCATCTCCTCAATCTGGGTGTTGTAAAAGACCTCGATGTCCTTCATGTATTGTAAGTCACCCTGCGTCACAAAGTTGATGGCCACCCCCTTGCGCCCAAAGCGACCCGACCGACCGATGCGGTGGATGTAGTTCTCGCGATTAGTGGGGAGATCGTAGTTGATGACAAGCGAAACCTGCTGCACGTCGATGCCGCGCGCGAGAAGGTCGGTCGTGATGAGGACGCGTGAGGAGCCCGAGCGGAACTCCTTCATGATCACGTCTCGCTCCCTCTGGTCCATGTCACCGTGCATGGCCGAGACCGTGAAATCTCGCTTCGTCATTTGCTCCGTCAGCCAGTCGACCTGAGAGGGCGAACCATTAGAGAAAGCTTAACTAAAACATGCCAGCACGGATGTATATATATTGCACCCACTTATTAATTTCACCATCGAGAGACATTTCCCCCAACTAGATCATCTCACCATCAATAGCTTCCTAAGTCCTGAGCTCTTACCTTTCTCCTTGTATTGCAGTAGATGATGGCCTGAGTGATCGTGAGCGTCTCATACAAATCACAGAGCGTGTCCAGCTTCCAGTCCTCGCGTTCTACCGCCACGTAGAACTGCTTGATCCCCTCCAGTGTGAGCTCGTCGCGCTTCACAAGGATGCGCACGGGCTCTCTCATGAATTTGTTGGTCACCTCCAAGACCTCTAAGGGCATGGTGGCCGAAAATAGGGCGCACTGCACCTTCTCCGGGAGGAACTTGAAGACGTCATAAATCTGCTCCTTGAACCCGCGCGATAGCATCTCATCCGCCTCGTCCAGCACGAACAGCTTCACATACGACATCTTCAGCGCCCGCCGATTGATCATGTCGTACACTCGCCCCGGCGTGCCCACCACCACATGTACACCGTTGCGCAGCTTGGCAATATCTTCCCGCACCGCCGTGCCTCCTACACAGGCGTGCACCTGTAGCGTCTCCACGAAGTCGCCCAGCGAGACAAGGACCTTTCTGATTTGTAGGGCCAGCTCTCGCGTGGGTGCTAGGACCAACGCTTGGCATTCCCGGATTGAAGTGTCGATAGACTGGAGGATGCTGATGGCGAAGGTCGCCGTCTTACCCGTCCCTGTCACACGAACATGGCGAGATATGGTTCAGGACAACCAGGGAAAACACCAACCAGATGAACAATCAGAACAATGGGTGGGCAGTAGAAGTGAAGATATTCGGGTGCGAGTTGGGTCAGGTTGTCAGAGATGAATGCTTGTCGTCAACGCGCGCAGCGCTAAGACTCGAAAGATGGTGTTTAAATTTCACAATCATCATTCCCACACTCGCCCCTGTCCGCCGACGTCCCATCCCAGAACTTTATTCCTTCCGAGCCCGGCGCCCACAGGCAACTTCCACAGCAGTCATTCTTCCACCCGTCCTACTCAGGGCCACTGACCTGATTGGGCTTGTGCAATGACATCACGGCCCATAAGAACAGGTTTCACCGCCCGCTGTTGGATTGCGGACGGCTTCTCGAAGCCGAAAGCGTAGATGCCGCGGAGGAGATCTTCGCGCAGGTCCATGGAGTCGAAAGTCTCCACGCACTCATCCCAGTTTGTGTCTATATCGGCGGACGATGGTTGCTGTGAATTTAATCCCGGTCCATCCGCCGAGCCCGAGGCGGAGACAGCGGCTTTCGGATCGGCAGCCATGCTTAAAGCGCGATGGCGGAGATGGTTTTAGAAAATGCTGTGGTCAAGGAGGAGGGGTCGGAGACAAAAAAAAAGCGGTGACGAATGATATGATTTCGAGAAAGTCGATTCCTACCGTGAAGACAAAAAGCGCCTTTGCGATCATTGTGTTGCACAATAGTGTTGTGAGTTTCCACAGCACGCAACATGCACCTGCTCTCATTCAGAGCCATGTAATGCGCTCCACCATGGCCACCTTGTCTCGACTTGTTTTTCATACGCAAAACAGTCATTCTTTGAAAGTCCCAAGCCATGGTCAGACGGTCACCTACTTATCAAACGCATTTCTGTGGGCTTTACATATATGCCTCCACAAAATCGTCCCAGTCAGGACAGCAATGGTGCCAGGGTCCGTCTCACCCAAGAGGAAAGGAGAAGATCTCTTCAGGGCCGTCCATTAGCCCTTCATAGCTTAGTGTTCCTCGAAAATGGAAATGGCGTCAAAGTTCTGTACTGTCCTTTCTCGAACTCGTTCGTCCGATACGATAGGCCGCACATCATTCCCAAAAGAAGACACAGTGAAAGTGGGCGCGAAGGGGAATGGTGCGGAAGGGGGGAAACGAGGGCCAAGAGGAGGCAAGAGAAGGCCGGTGCCGGAGCATGACTGAAAGGACTCAAATTTGGCGCGAAGGGCCCAGCCGCCGCTTCATTTTATTTTTATCTTCCTCTCACGCCAACCTACATCACAATTTTGACGTCCTCGGCCGTACGGCATATGCAGGGGCAGCCAAGACATAGTCGTTTGCCACTTTGGGGAAAAAAACTCCCGAAAATGTGGGCCATTCAGTGTCGTGGGAATGCCGTGCCCTTGCACACCTACAGACGAGCTTGGGGAGGTGCAGAGTGCAAGATTGGAGGTCACTCCCATGACCATTTGAGAATGCTACCCTTAGAGCCACACGTTTTGGGCCAAAATGAACTTCTAACCTTGGGAGCTGACAATTTGCGCCGTTTTGCGGTGACAAAAGGACCTTCCACAAAGCTTTTGGAGGGCTTCCGTGCAAGTTCCAATGCGACGCGGACTTATCTCCGACAATCAACATCAATGTCGTCTTCGGGGGTTTTGCCTCATTCGGCTCTAAGTAAAGCAGCAGACAACATGATGAGTGGCCTTCATGAACGCCCCGCACCTCGTGGGCAAGATCAACGGAATGGTATTCGTGGAGAGTTTCTTGGATCATCCAGTACACATCATGTGTCTGAAGTTTCACATGATATGTTCGCGCCAGTGCCATTCCAGCATGACTGCAAAGCTACACTTTTCCCGACTGATGATGATGCTTGCGACCCCCTGTTTAACAAAAAGATTAAAAAGTCGATTGCGCAAGCAGGCGCTGCAGCAGTTGTGACGAGCACTGTCTATCAGGCAGTTAAGCATCACAAGCACAAGAATGACAGGCAATCGGCAGGCGATGGCAACATATCTCAAACGATCGAGGAGAAACGCAAGCGAGCAGGGGAAAGTGGGCCGTTGACAGAGCCCACGGCAGAGTTTATGGCAACGGATCCGTGGAGAGGTGACGAACCAATTCAAGAGCCAACGCTGGACACTGCCGAGGCGTGGAGCACATTGCTACGCACTGCTCCCGCCTGGTCGCAGCTACGATTGTACTCTTTTATCCGGTCACTAGGTAAAGGTTCTCATGCTGAAGCTCTTCTGGTCGAAAAAGGTTCGTACGAAAGAGACAAGAGAAAAAAATTGTGTGTTCTTAAAGTGAGTAGTTTTTTGCCTGAGGCGATAAATGAAAGCCGACTGCTGAGTGTCCTATCGGCAAAGAGTAATATTGCCCATCCGTATGTTGTACGCTTGGAGGATGTCCATGTGGAACAGTTTGGAACGAGCCACTTGGCTTTCTTACAGTTAGAGTATTGCGAAGGTGGAGACTTGGACACTTATGTGCGGGGGCGAGGAACTTATTGCCGGCACGCATTTGATGACGTGCACATACATTACATCGCGAGCGAGTTGTTGGCCGGCCTAGCATCATTGCATGCCCAAGAAATCGTCCATCGGGATGTCAAGCCAGCGAACATACTCCTTGGGACGGATGGTGATGTGAAGCTTTGTGATTTTGGTGTTGCCAGCCAATATAGAGACATTTGGCCCGATGGGTCATATGTTCCTGCGGGATCACTAGCTTACATGAGCCCAGAGATTCGTCAAATGCTGTCATGTGCATCGGAAAGGGATCAATCAACATATAATATTGCCACAACTAGAGAGCTACCGGTCCTGACTTTAACAGGAAAGGTAGACGTCTGGGCATTATCTTGCGTTGTGTATGCCTTGTGTCTGTCTATCTCTGAACCCAATTTGGTCGATGTACCTCCCTTGCAAGCGGTCGCTGAGGTTTGCGATCACAGAGGATGGCCTCCGTTTAATGCTTCCCATAAAATTTCAAGTAAAGATCCTGGAAAGGTAGCCAATGAGATATGTTGGCTTTTGGTGTTGGGTCTGCAGCCAAATCCAGAATTACGCCCTTCTGCAGAAGATTTGAAAAAGTTCGTGTCTTGTTCTGAGAAACAAACCAATATTGAATGGTTGGCTCGTCTGTAAAGGAGATTAGTAAATGCACCGTGTTCATAAATACTGTACATGATGCTTTCAAATTTGAGAAAGAAGTCGTAATACAATGTGATGGAGGATTTTTGTGGCTTGTATCTCATTTTGATAGACACGACAGATACTGAATTTCTTTTCTTACGATCAATCTATGAATGTACACATTTCTTGTTGGAGTAATGTGCACGGAAAACAATGATCACAATCTTGAAAGTGCCCCCGTTGTATCCACTATGTAACGATAGCATACGGAAGTAAGAAATTCAGGTAAGTACGATTTATCCAGCAGAAAATGCTCGCAAATGGCTCGACAGAGAGCCAGAGCACGCTTGTCTTCGTACGATGTTGCTCTTGAACGTAATTTCTGGACCTCCTCGCTCAGAAGTACTTTGATTAGAGATGGCGTCACGACTAGTTCTGGTTGATCATCGAGCTTGACCTCATGCCGAAGCCATTGATGAACCTGTACTCGAGAGATCTCTGCTGTAGCGGCATCCTCCATCTGGTGGGGGAAGCAAAGATACATTTTTTGAAATAAGGAATGTATGAAAAATTGAAGGATTAGATATCTTGTCTCTTTGTTTCCTCAAGTGTTTCCAAGTGGAGGATGAACACGTCAAAAGTATTTGCTACGTGATACTCCATACTGGTAGAACCAAAAAAATACAGTTGCGAGAACGAGAATAATAAGTCCGCTACAAACTTAACTCACCTTATTATGGAGAGGGATACAACCTATGCCTTTGAGCCAAGCTTTGGTGTATTCGAGTACTACAAAGATATTCTCACGCAAACCATTCAGAGTCGAAGAACCCGCAGACGGCAGACGAAGGAGATCTTCAGCAGTAATAGGTACAGCAAGAGGTCTTACATCGTGAATTTGATTCTTGGTTGGCATGTGTTGATCAAAAATCTTGAGAGCTAGAGGAATAAGACCCGGCTAGAAGGTAAAGTGTTAGAACATGATGTGTGAGCGGAATTGATGCCAATTGAAGTATATCAAAGCCGCCAATTAAAATCGTCAGGGACAATGCATCTGGGGAGAAAAATTTAGTGGTGTGTAGCTTTCACTTACATGGGCAACCCAAGTCCCATCATGGCCTGCCAGGACCTCTCGCAACTTGTCTGCTCGTACACTTTCCAAAGCTGCCTCAGCCTCGTTTCCTCCGCTTCGAATAGGAATCTGTGCGGCCATACCTCCCATTGCAAAAGTTCCCCTCTTATGACATATGTGGATGAGTGTGGTCACATAGGCCTGCATAAACGGCGATGTCATGGTGAGATACTTCCGATCGGGGGTAATATAATGAGGCGAAGCTTTAAGCCGCTTGATGTAGCTGAAAGCATAATCCCATCGGCCACAGTTCAAGCCTAAACTATGCTCTCGTAGTTCATAGAGGATTTCCTCCATTTCAAAAGCCGCAGTCAGTGTCTCTATCAAGGCCGTGGCTCGAATAGTCCGACCCGGAAGTCCCATGATTTGTTCAATACAAGAGAAGACATCATTCCACCAGCGAGCCTCCACATGATACTCAATCTTTGGGATATAAAGATATGGTCCTATCATGGAGTGTAAGGATGCAAAGCCAGGTAAAATGAAATTGAATTTCTGGCATTTTAAGACGTGGTTTTGACATGTAGTAACTGAAATTTAGACCAGGTGGATTTCTAAATATGTTCAATAAATTATGGGGCTCTTGGTAGGATAGGAAATACCTGCTTCAAAATGTTTATCACATACCTACCTCTGCCTAAGTCGACAAGATTGCGTGCGTTGTAAAATAAGTAAACGGCCAGATCAAAAAGTCCTGCCGCCACTGGCTCTCCGCCTACAGTGACATGGGCCTCGTCAAGATGTAATCCTCGGGGTCGAACGAAAAGTGTAGCTGTCTTTTCTTTCAGTTGATAAATCCGTTTGGGGTTGTCTGGCGCTGTGTACACGATGGTGCCCCGAACAGCGTCGCGAAGGTTAATCTGCCCGTTTATCATATTTTCCCAAGTCGGGGAAGAGGAGTCCTCAAAATCCGCCATGTAGACCTTGGCACCTTTCCAACGAATAAGGTAGATAGAGGACATCAAAATTTTGAGTGTAGATTAAATTTATCGTCCTCGCTGCGAATATTTCTTACCGCTATTAAGTCCATTGATAACCATCTTCCGATCTACCGGTCCAGTGATCTCGACACGGCGATCCTGGATGTCGGTCGGGATGGGAGCGCAGCGCCATTCTGGATCATCACGGATGGACTTAGTGGCTGGTGAAAAGTGAGGCAGGACACCACCGTCGATCTCGAGAGCCTTACGAGAGCGCTCAAGGAGCAGGCCTTGCCGCCTCGGCTCGAACTCGTAGTGCAAGAAGGCCAATATACGACGCAGTTCAGGAGGAGAGAGTAATGCAGCCTGCTCAGGAGTGAGGGTCCCAAGATAACGCACCTCGGCTAGGGAGGAGTTAGGTTCCAAACCTCGCACAGCCGACGCCGAGGCCGTGTTCATGTCTGTAATTGATGTTGAAGAGGCTTATAGCAAAGCCGGAAGGGAGAGGACAGAGGGAGCTACATAAAAAGGTTATTGCTATATCATCTAGCATCACTGCCTTTGAAGTATATTATTTCTGTTGAGCATGGATTCATATGGATTAAAGTGTGACACTTTTTTTCCTTGGCACAATCTCAGCTGTTCCGGGCACGGGCACGGGAACGTCGGAGAGGTTGCGGTCTCGCCGAAGAACGAGACGCCAATATGCCCGTGAAAGCTGACACAGAGGAAATCCACGACTGAAGATGGCCATTATTTCATCCCAACCGCCCACAAGGTCACATCGTCGCAGAGATTTTTAGGGAAGGACTAGTTCGTGCACAGATATTCTGTACACAGCCAGCCCATCCTTGCAGCTCTCTCTCACCAAAGCGGATACTTGCTGCTGAGGACTTGGAGGTGTCTCGGACTGAATTACCGCAAACGCACCGCTGCCTTACCCCTTGATCGCACATAAGGGTCTATCTGCGTCTACAGCTCTCACTGTTGGAAAGCCATGGAAGGCCACACCAAGTTCTCTATTTCTTCACGCACGCATCCGTCCTTTGTGCCACCTCTCTCCCGTCCCCCAGTCCTTCGATCAGGGGGCAGACCTGCCACAACACGCGCCACCCGGCCCTTCCTCCCGGCCCCAGCACACTTGCATTGTAATGTCTGGAGTTCCATATTAATTGCCGAAACAACGGCTGATTTTGGACCCGTTAATCCGAGTTTTGAGGCTCGTCTAGACGTGGGAGCGCTCTTTTCCTTGGTAATCATGTCCTTGGTGGTTGCGCTATTTTGGGCACGTGTCATCACGGCGATCACTGATAGGGAAAAGAGAGAGAGCCTGGAAAGAATACAGCGAGAAATTCGAGTGAAAAAATTGACGGGGAGATTCGACGGCGGGGATGAGGAAACACTGCGCCTTGCCGAGGAAGAGCAGGCGAGGCCGGCACTGGGCGAGGTCGGCTCTTTTTTAAGGAAGTTTCGGTTGGTCAACGAAGGACGGCGTATCAAGGAGGACGGAGGTGCTGATGACAATAGCACCGAGTGAAGCGGAGGCTGGTAAACTCGGTGCAAAAGCATCATTTCACCTCCTGACACGTGGCCGTGTCAAGCAAAGGGTATCATGACAAGGCGCTCAAGAGGAGTTACACGTTATTGGATGTTTGAGCTTCAGTGCACTGATCGATGAGGATGAGGTGTTTTAATACTTTGTTTTGACGAAGAATACTGCGCGAACTTCAGTTATGAAAGATGATCGGAAAGGGTACCAAATAATTCGAGAAGAACACAACGATTTTGATCATTCTCCTTTAAGCACCTGATGAAAAATCCTCCTTCTAGGAATAGGGGCAACTGGCTTATGCTTCGAGTCTGTATCATGCAAGGGCCTGGCTAGGAAGCGCCAAGACGCAGCTCTTTATGCTGTTGCCCACAACTATGGCGTGTTAAATTTTTATCTTACCTGTAACGCTTACTTTGTTGCTTATACTGCATTGATCGCTCTCCTAGTCTTACAACCTTAACTTATACTTTGTAAAAGTCATTTCATCTTAAGATATTTAATTTTTAAAAAAATTGAGGAGCAGCGCTCTAGCAAAACGTCGGGAAAAAAAAAAGAGGAACCAGACGAGATGACTAACTAAAGCCGCTACAAGAAACGAAGGTGTACGGCCTCAGCCTCTCGATGAGCATTAGTAATAATTACTTATTTTGGGAAGTTATATATGCTCTGAATTCTTTTTGGACATAGTAACGCGTTTCATGGGCAACTCTAAACAGGAGAACGGAAAAGGGCAGACATTAACTTTACTTTCTGAAAGAAAGCAACTTTAACGGCGAAAGTCACGCCCTTGGCGAGGAAAACCGCAGCCAGTGGAGCCCGAAGACAAACCGGCCGGGAGGGGGGATGAGGGAGGGGTTTGATGCAGTGTCTTTGATTATGTGGACATGGTAGACATTATTCAATGCGTATATCTTGTGGTCCTTCCACGTGAATGATAACTCACACTGCCTCCCTCATCATAGTATCTTCCCCAGGTCGACGCAAGCTGGCAATCCTCCCAAGCCTTAGCCAGGTATGTATGTGCTGTCTCGGGGGGGGCCGCCACATGGTATTTTTCTCAGACATACGACCACTTACTCGTTATAATGCTTGAGGAAACTTGGTGACGTGCTAGACATTGTTCTTCGATGTGACCAAATGAATACCTGGGGCACCAAGGGCGCCATCCCTTTCACGGTTTCTCGCGCTTTTTAAGTCTTGATGCGCTCACGTCTCCGCACCACATGCTGATTGACCACAAAAAATGAAGCCGCAATACGCTTACGGGTGTCATAATATTCTCTTGTTCTGGCTTGGAGCCTTGACGACCCAATCAGTCCCCCTCTTTCATCACTGAGGGTATCCTGATAGTTTGACGTCGAAAAGAGAAATTGAGACGATAGCCTAGTGATGTGTAGAGGCTCCACCGCAATCACTTCTAGCACCGTCTCGAAATGTATAGCATCCCATGCCTCGCTTTTCGGGCTGCTGGACTGTAGTATTATTTTTGCCACGTAC